AGCAGAGAAAGCAGGAACAGAACAAAAATTAACTCCTGGAAAATTTTGGTGAGGTGACGAAGTCGAATTTCCAGACAGCAAAAGAAATATTTTGGCAGACCTTCTGCCGTCTTCGAGAAGGATAGAAGACAGTTTGAGAGTCGTGAAGGACAAGTCCAAACGACATTTAACCAAAAATAAGAACATTCTTCGGCGATGGAGGGAGTACTTTGAAGAATTTTCTAATCGGGGAACAACCGCAGAAAGGACTGGGTGAAGAAGGACAGGTAACGGATGTTAGTCATGCAATAGATGAAGCTTGAAATGCTTGAGAAGCGGCAATGGTGTCTGAATTGATAAAATCCTCCGTAAAATGCCTTAAGCTTTACGCTGTCATGGCATGTTGCAAGTAACCCTGTGAAGCTGCAATGGCTAAGGGAAAACATCAGTCAGCTGAAGAAAATGGGTTGTGGTACTCCTGTTCAAGAATGGAAAAAATAGAATTCCCTCCTCATCAGGGCTCTAACTTATGAGCCTCTAAGGAAAATTTCATTCGAAAGTGTTGGAAACGAGGTGCCGCGAAACAGTTTACTGTAAGATACAAGAAGAGCAATGTGGTTTCAGACCAGGCCGACTAGATCTTCGACTATTGCCAGATACTTGAGAAATCGTGAGTTCGCTCATTCGGTTTATGCATGCTCTGTGGACTTGGAGGAGGCCTATTACCTGATTACGCGCAACAATCTATGGGCGTGCTTGAAAAATGGGATCGATGGCTAGTTGCTACCAGCCATGCAGTCACATTAATATGATAGCAGGCGCTGTGTCACATTAAATGGCGTTAAGTCGGGGCTTTCCAGCTTTGACACTGGTTCTGCGCTGCGTCTTGTCTCCTCTCCTATTTGTGTTATACACGGACAGAATAGTCAGGCAGATCTAGGGCTATGAGTGTTTCAGCTTTGGTGGTATGAGCACGAAAAGATTGCTGTTTGGAACGACCTTGTTTTGCTGGAAAGGTTAGTAACCGAGTATCACGTGGCCGGCATGGGTGTGAACGTGTCTAAAACGATAACAATACGAAACTTCTGTTAAACTAGCGGATTTCTAAGATTATTCGGAACTTCTGAAGGAGTTTGCATTCATCTCCTACAAGGATGCTCGAGCGGCACCGAAACATCTGAACGGTACTTGAGCTCCTGATTTTGTCTGAAGCATGCAATTAGACGCGTAGTAACTGAAGCGGTTGGCACTCTGCGGCCTCATAGGAAACCATGGCCATCAGACGCCACTGTAGACGTACTGGAAAAGAAAGGATAGATGCACAGAAGTGGATACCGTACAGAATGTCCTAAGTTAAACAACCTACTTAGGGACTAAAGCCAATCTTGACCAGGAAGCTTTCATGAATTCCGTTACCGAGGAACAGGTGAAATGCAAGAAACATAACAGCTCGCGTGCCTTTTCGCCCCACTGGTAGACTATCGGGAAATTACAGATACCATCCGGTTGCGTCCATTACCAACATGGACAGCTCTTCATGCATGCCGGGTCGGGCATCGAAGCGTTCAGCAAATCGAAAGAACACTACAAGTCGCAATGGAGGCATCCGCCGGCAAACTTCATACTGCATAACACGAGGCAGCAGCAGGCAACTATACTAACATAATTCGC